GATGTGGCTTGGCGCTTCGACCTTGTCGAAGGTCACTCGGAGGTCGCGGTGGTCCGGCATGTCTGGTCGCCAGCCGAACTTCATGTTCGTTCGCATGGGGAGTCCGGAAAGGCTCGGATGCCTCGCAGAGGCTGCCACCTGAAGCTCGGCAGCATCCGAGGAGACACCGGTAGAACTGCAGTTGCCCATCTTGGCAAACAACAACAAAAACGATGGGGAGAGGATGTTAAATTGGCGCTTGGTTGAACCAGGAAAGGCTTGAGCCATAGCCATGAAGGGAAGGGCTTGGATTTGGGGTCAGCACCCGAATGTACCAAAGGCCGCTTACACGAGTCATGCTGAGATGCCTCCGCAACTCCTATCACGGTTTCGGCGCGCACTCTCGGTTCAGTGTTGCGCAGGTCCCTCAAATCCCAAAACCCCTATATAAACCCTAAAACCCGGATATCATTGGAGCATGCTTCGACTGACAGACGCCAGCTTTTCGGGCAGCATCCAGCGTGGTCTGAATCCTCAGCATGCGAACTGTCGAGTTCCGAGCTTCAAAGCACGGGCCTTTGGGGCTTCGAGCCGCACCCCTAAACCCTAAACCCTTTTTTGAACCCAGACTCTGCTGATCAGCTGGGAACCCTAAACTCTAAACCCTGAACCCACGTTTTGGTGCAGATTCAGGCCCATCAGCACATCAAGTCTTGGGTTCTCTCGGGTAGTTCTCTGAATCTTAAAGGTCCCTCTTTGGGTCCCCAACATAGCATAGCATGGCACCCATATACAAAGAACCCTAAACAGGACCCCTAACTCTTGAGGGTAAAACCCTCTTCAAGGCTGGAGTGGCCAGCTGGCCGGTGGCTTTTCTTGTCGGGATGGAGGTCTCCAAGGCTCAGGACCTCGAGTTTGTTTATGCCTGGCCCTTAGATGAACCTACTTGTCCAGCATCATGGGGAACTAAAGCTTAACCTTTGGGGTTACATAGGGAACATCCTACATCAGAAAGGTTAAAGGTTACCTACTCTATCCTTAAATACTCTATCCCTAAACCCTAAACCCTAAACCCGTATACTATTACTTAGTGAAGAGGCGGCCTGGGCTCGTGGTTGAAGTTGGGCAGAAAGGACCGGCGGACGTAGCAGAGGACGGTTCTAGCAGGCTTTTTGCGCCTTGTAGCCACGCCAGATCCCAAGCAAACCCGCAGCATTCATCCGCAAGCCAGAACCTGCACCCTGATCAATCTTGCACTCAAACCTTCTTGAAGAAATCTGAAGAACACCCACACTCCACAACTCCGGACCAACTGAAGCCTAGAATTGCCCGAAAACATAGCCCCTGGACAGCAAAGCCCTTGCTGGATCGTACCCTAGGCCCTCGAAGGGATTGGAATCCTGGCAAGCCGCAATCTAAAATCTAAACTTCCAGATGCACACGGTTTGGGACTTATATATGCTTCTTGATGATGAGGCTCACTCAGTAAGACCATGAGGGAAATTCAAGAGAACAGCAATGAACCCCTGGGCGTTGAGGGATTTAGCAACTTTAAGTTTTAAGGTTTAGAGCTTTTGAGTTTAGGGTCTTGGTTTAGGGTTTTAGGGTTGCGGGGGTAAGCCCTACTTCAGACGTGTACTCGGAGAGCCCAACTTACCACGTAGTTAAGAAATATACATTGATTGAATCAACATATCAAGGCCCCTATAATTTAAGGTATATTCCCTAACTCAAGGGTATTGTAGGGGCCGTAATAATTAGAATAGGGTTCTGGGGTAAATTATACTACAATTATAACATAAACAACCCCAAAAAACAATCTAGGTAATTGTGAAGGCCTATAATACCTACAATTTTTGGGATCTCTAAGTACACCCCGGACACGCCACTCCGAGCGTCTCTGCGAGACTTTCCCCACGCTGCAGGGCCGAGCCGAGGGCAGAAGCAGCAGAGAGCTCCTGCCCGGAGGCTCCGAGACCCTCAGTTTAGGGTTTAGGGTTTAGGGTGGTTTAGGAATATTTTAAAAATAATGATGATGATAATAGTAATAATAGTAGTAGAATCCTAGTACAATTTAGGGTTTTAAGGTTTAGGGTCTAGGATTTAAGGAATATCCCTCAAATTATAAGAGGACCCCTACTGTTGATGATAGAAATCCTGCATTACCCTAAACTATGGGAATTATGGTTTACTCCTTATTGTGGGTAATGCAGGATTTATATCATCAACCGTAGTATAATTTAGGGTTTCAGGGTTTAGGGTCTAGGTTTTCAGGTATATTCCTTAGTTCAAGGGGAATTGGAGTCTCTGGGTGCAAGGCTTGAGCTTCAAAGCACTGCGGCTTAGAGCAACAGAGGGAGCTTGGAGAAAGGAATAGGAGTTAGCAGTTAGGATTAGGGGACCCTTGACGATATAGACCCTCTCAATAAGGTCCCTCTTAAGCGAGGCATAATAATTAAGAAATGGTTCCCTGTAAGGTGTCTCCCTAGCATTACCTAGGATAGAAATAGAGTACTCCGTCCATGAGGCAAACTCGGCAGGCGTGCACGGTAACTCTCCGGCTGTGCTGCGCTGCACATGTTCGATCCTATTCTGTCCGGGCTAGCCTGCTCCCAGCATAGGGACCCTAAACCTTGGGTCTGCAGGGCTTGGGCTGCTGGCTGATCTTCCCGAGTAGTGCTTCGACTCTGCAATATCAACGGCTCGGTATTCAAGAAACCTGGGCAGACCACGCTAAGCCTCAAACGTGCGAGGAGATTGCAATCGATTTTTTTGATACAGGGCATCACTGGCAGCGGCAACTGCGGGCTACAGCCTCTGAAGATGTTAATCTCACATGCACCGCTAGGAACGCAGATTCTGCCCTGAGAAGAGACAAGCCAATCGTGATCCTCACGATGGGTTGCAAGAATTGAACCAGTACTCTAAGTGATATTTCAGGGCATGGAACCAAAGATGATGCATTCTGCCCTGACAATGATCTTGCAACCCAGCGAGGCTTCCTTCGGCACGATTGGCCAAAAGAAGGAGTCCACCTATAGTCTCCCGAGCAAATAAAGGAGACATGCTAAGACACTTGTGCCGAGACACCTCCTAATAGTATAATATGTCCTGTGATTCACAAACTCTCGGCCTCAGAGACCGCGGAGCCCAGAGCTCCTTGCTAGCCACATCACGTTCATGAACTCTGAGCTGCGGCCGAGCGCCTGCACTCCAAGGCCACGCATCGGTGGCGCCGTGTAGCGGCGTGCGCTGCCTCCCCATTTGCCCTTCAAGCTCCGACCGGTGGTGAAAACGTAGAGCGCCTTGGCGTAGCGCTTGCGATGATCACCGTCTGTGTCACGCGGCTGCGCTTCAAAGTGCCGCCTGACCTCGCTCATGCGCATTCCCTCCTTGCAGTCTGCAGTGAAGAGCAACTTGGCCAAGGAATTGCGGTCCTCAAGGTTGTGAGGGTTCTGCAACCAGCACAAAGATCCATCCGACATGCGCTCCGTAACGATGACCGTCTTCTCGATGGTCTCCAGCACGATGTAGTAGTTGTTGCAAGCCTCGTGCTCCATGGCCTCGACATAGACCCGGCACCGGCTAAGCTTCTCCTTGCAAGGTTATCATGCGGCATGTCCCTCAATAAACAGACGCATGTGTTAAAGCAGCTGCTTTACGGGACTTCTGTTGAACTGCCAAGGCATTGGCCCACTCCATACAGTAGAGGGGCTTGGATACCTTTTAGCCTGTAGTGCCTCTAGGATTATGCTATGCTGTCATATACCCAAAAACCCAACTCTAATTGTCATGGCCCCTATGCCCTCTACATCCTCACAGTGACCCTCATAGTAGCCTATACAGGAACCCTAGTCTAATTACCAAGGCCCCTGAAAAAACCCCGTCTCCTTGCCCAGCACGTCCTGCGCCTTGGATCCCTTGGTCTCCCAGGACGCTGCACGAGAGGAGAAGACCACATGAACCATCTCCTTGATTCCAGGGTCAAGGGACTCCCAAAGAACCCAATATCCCTTAATTAGGGAATATACCTTAAATTCTAGGGCGCTTACTCTTATGATTTAAGGTATATTCCTTAATTGAGGGACATTGGGTTCTCTGGGCTTGGTAAGTAGGCTCGGAGTAAGGTAACTACAGCTCTATCTACAGATAGCCCTACATAATCATGATAGCTATTATCCTAGTTACCTGAACCACCTCCTTGGTTGGGCCCTTGTCAGACAATCTAAGGTAAGTTACCACAATAGGGATCTGTAGTAGATACTATGGTGCCCTGATTTTTGCGGCTTAGACTAACCTCCGTAAATCCTTATTTTGTGGCTTAGACTAAGTTCCTTAACATGAAGCATCTCCTTGGTTCTTCTTGAGGGACCTCGGGTTGAGGGCTTTAACTTAAGGGTGTTAAGCTTTAGGGGTTCAGGGTTTTAGGGTTTAGGGTTTGGGGTTTAGAGCAAGTGAAGTTACCAGAATTGGGAAGTGTGCGAATTACGATATCTGCCTACTACGGCAATGAGGTTCTCTAATAAGCTCCTCAACATGAACCAATAGTAACCTTAGGGGTCCCCATTGTAATAGCTACAGTAGTATCTAGGCGTTTAGGAGCCCCAAACTAAGCCCTAAACCCGAATTCCCTTACATGAACCCTGCTACAGATCATAACAAAGTAAACCCGGGTTCATCCTGACTCGAGATGCCAAGTTTGGTATGTAAGGAACTTAGCCTTAAACCCTTTTTTACCTCGAACCAAGCACTCATAGCATAGCCCTGAACCCTCAACCCCAACCTTTAAAATCTCCCAAACATGAACCCAGTCGCAGCTTCCCCGACCTCTTGGATCGTGCGGACCTCCAGGCTGCCAAGCTTGTAGATTCGGAAAGCGACCCCGTCTTCTGTGACCTGCAGGGTTTAAGGTTTAGGGTTTAGGTTTAGGGTTTATGGCTCCCCAAAAGTATTTATGAAAAGGTACCTCTTTCGCACCATAACGGAAAGTCACAAGTGTCCCAAAGCTCAGCCAGGCCTGGTCGAACTCCGGAACCTTGGTTTGGGGGGTTTCGGGGTTTCGGGCTTCCTTTCCTGCTCGCCCAGAAGCACAAAAGGGTCGTTAAACCCTAAACCTAAACCCTGAACTCTAAGTAAAAGGGCACTGCTCTGCGGACCTGCGAACTGCTTGGGGAATCACCTCCTCGAGCAAGCTGCGCTTGAAAGTCTCCTCGACCTCCAACTTCACCAGGCCGAACTTCGTGGGGGCGGTGTAGGAGATGCGCCCTTCATGCTCCACCTGAAATCGAGAAGTCCAAGACCTGGGGAAGTCGCTTCCGGGATTGGCCATCACGAAGTTCTTATCCGCGAAGCGAACCCTCCGCCGATCCCGGATGCCGCCCTCCTCACCCACCAGGCTTCGAACCTTCACGATGTACTCCAGGTTGGGGTCCGGGGGGGTGAAGGCATCGCCCTCCTCCACGCGGTCGCACTGGGGAACGTCAAAGATGTTCAGAAGCAGCTTCTGGTCGTCTATCTTCATGCCGGTCCATGACTTCCTGGTTCGGTTACGGAGCTTACCATCATAAGGAAACCCTGTCATATCTACTGCATGTCCGCAAGCTGCATACAAAGGCAATGACAGTAACTAGTAACAAGTACCCAGCTTCTGCCGCAGGCTGCTCAGGAAAGCCTTGCCCAGCGTGGTACGACCCTCCAGCGACGTGGCATCGCCACTGCAAGGGGGGAGCTTGCCTCGGAAGCGCTCCTCGGTGGAGAGGGAGAACTTGTCCAGATTGAGATCCACACCTTGTGGCATTTCGCGCTGGCCGAGCTGGAAGCGCTGTGGCATGAACATCGGCCGTCCCGACTGGCCCAGCTGCATTCCAGTCGGCTGGCCTTGCAATGCATGTCGCTGGGCCAGCTCGAAACGGTCCAATCCGAACTCCACGCCGCCGTAGATTGCCTGGAGCTTGCTTTGGCCGCCTGTAACCATGTCGATGAGGCGTCCATTCTGGAGCTTGATGCGGGAGTTCCCGCGCATGTTCCAAAGCTGTGGGATCTCCATGTAGGGCTCTGGCGGGGCACGCTTGACGATCTCGTCCGCCAGACGATACCAGGACGGGTCGATACGCGCCTTCGAGTCCACCAAGTACTTGGCCATGACGGATGCCTTCTTACATGTCCGGTACCCTAGCGGAACTGAAGGTTAGCCTTCGGGACTTTGCAGAAACCATAAATAACTACCCAAGAAGAAGCTAACCGGTGGGCTTGTGTAGAGATTGTAATACCCCGAAGAAACGCTAAAGGTTACCTATTCTAACGACTCCTCAGATTACAAAGAGATCTCTAAACCCTAGACTCCCTAAAAACCCTAAACCCAAAACCCTAAACCCCAAAAGAAGGTTAAAGGGTTACCTAAACTCCCCCAAAAACCCCAAAACCCAAAACCCTAAACCCCAAAAGAAGGTTAAAGGGTCACCTAAACTCCCCAAAAACCCCTAAACCCAAAACCCTAAACCCCAAAAGAAGGCTAAAGCGGTTCCCTACTCTCCTAGCCTTTGCCAACTCACGGAGGTGGAAGATGACGCTCTTGCGCTCTGCGATCAGATCGAAGTGGCGGGTGAAGGCCTCCCGCAAAGGTGTGGAGTTAGCATTTAGGGTTTAGGGTTTAGGGTTTAGGGTTTGGTTGTTTAGGGTGTAGAGTTTAGGGTTTAGGGTTCAGGGCTCTGGGCTTTAGGCTTTAAGGTGAAGGCCTCCGCAAACTTCTTCAAGGGATGTGTGGGCACCGTTACGGGAGCATCCTCCAGGCCCTTGGCGGTCACAATCTGCTCGCGCGCCTCCACGCCCATGCGAACATGCGGGATGAGAGTTCGATCCTTCGGCTAGTGCCCCCAAAAAAAAAGGTTAACCTTTTTGCATGGTCTTTGGATTGCGTACACCATAAAGGCTAACCTTGCTACCGATTGAACATGTACACCCATAAAAGTTAACTTATAACCTTTTTGCTACTTGATTATACACACCCAAAAAGTTAAAGCTTACCTAACCCTAAACCTAAACCTCAAACCATAAACCTACACCCTACACTGCCCCTAAAGGGGACACTATTATAGAACCCGATGGTACCCTTTAAAGGGGACCCTCTTCTAGTACCCTAGAGTACCCTTTCCCTAAATGTACTGAACCCTAAACCCTAGACCCTAAACCCTAAACCCTTTAAGGGTCCTCGGCCATGCGGACCTCGGCCTTCTTCACCACGAACCACTCGCGGCCAGACCAAGTCTTATCCTTTGGGTTTAGGGCTTAGGGCTTAGGGTTTAGGGCTTAGGGTTTCGGCTTGAGGTTTCGGATTTCGGGCATGTTTGGCAGGGCGGGTGTGGGATTGAAGGACTTCGGGCGTGGCGCTTGGGGTCTAGATGTCTTGTCCTTGTCGCCCATCTCAGACCAGTCGAAGACGCTCAGCCTCGGTTCCCAGGCACTCCCTTTCTGCGCCTTTTTTTTGGGGTCTAGGCTCTCGGGTCTTGGGTTTTAAGATAATTCAGCCTCAACAAAGACAAGCCCCAAAACAAGAAAAAGGTAAAGGGAGCACTACTGGAGGCCCAGCAGCATTCCGAGCACGGGCATGTTGTACTCTCCGAGGGCCAGCTCCTTCAAGAAGTAGTCGGCCTGGAACAGTGGTTAGGGGGTTTTGGGGGTTTAGGGTTTAGGTGTCGGAAACCAAGTGCAACTCAGATATTCTGCCCCGGATGAAAAGAGCCTGACTTGACTTTAGGCCTGCATAAGACAATGCATAGCAGGGTCGTTGTCAAAACAACTCTGCATTACAAAAGCCTTAGTTTAAACGGTGTCGGGTTCAGGCTTTGGGGGGAAGACCACTAGTCACTAGAAGTCGCCGGCCTGGAACATGACATCGCCGGCGCTGGTGCCAGCCAACCTTGGTCCCTCTTCAGGCAGGAAAGAAGAAGGGCTTAGCGGTTTAGGGCATGGGCTCCCATTTATTCTGTTGGGAAGCCCAAGCCAAATGCCCTAAACCCTAAACCCTAAACCCCGGAACCCTAAACCCTAAAGAAAAGCAGAAATCCCGAAGATTGGCCAAGCCAACCAGGAAGGCTCGAAGACTTTCTTCTGGGGCGAGTTCTCGAGGTTTTTCGGGTCGATGGGATCCTGGGCTGAGGCTTTGTGAAGGGCTTAGGGTTCAGGCTTTAGGGCTTGGGGTTTAGGGTTCAGGGTTTAGGGTTTAGGACTTAGGGTTTAGGGTTCAGGGTTCAGGGTTTAGGGTAAAGGGTAAAGGGTTTTAGGGTTCAGGGCTCTTGACTCGCAGCCCAGCTTAGGTTTCCGTGCGTTATCCAGCGCCTCCTAAAACTTAGCTTACGTTACCATAACAAGACAAGCCACGTTGTTTCCTTTGCTTTGTAGCGCTACTTTATGATCTTAAGTTACGTTCCCTAAACCCTACACCCTAAACCCTTAACCCCAAAACCCTAAACCCTAAACCCTTAACGATTTCCCAGGATCCAGAGAGAAGAGGGGCTCGCGCGAGGCGGACTTCCTCACCTCTACAGGGAACGTGGGCCCCTTACACACATGACAGGTTTTAGCTGCTTCTTTAAAGGATTTATTAAGAGTTTTTCTTAATGCTCCTAAAGACCTTGAGGGCCAGCAGGAGATACTCCAGGTTCACCGAGGCCGACGGCTCGAGCGTCGCGGCCACCCGGACGGTCTTCGAAGCCTCATCCAAAACCAGGCAGCACAGCCCTTGCGGAGCTGGACGGCAGCCCATGCGCTCAGCCAGGCTGGCATTCGAGGGAACACTGTCCATGCGCCAGCCGATGTTGTATTCCTCGGCTCTTGTTGAGGAACTTAGTCTCAGTTACTATATCAAGGATCGCAAATAGCAGGTTTCCTGATCATGGTAAGCTAAGTAAAATTGCCTAATAAGAACCCGGAGTCCCTGCGGTTCTTGAGCTTCTTGTTGTTCTCCCGAGTCGTGCGATGCTCATCCTCGCGCTGGGCCTCTTTCAGGAGCACCTGCGCCATGCACTCGGTGTGGACGCAAGTGTCCTTGCCCTCGCGACCCTGGTAGGCAAACTCACCCACGGGCATAGAGCAACGAGTGCAGAGTGGAATTTCTTCTCGATCGGAATCCACCTCAGTGAGGTTGGCCTTCGCCAGCCGTTTCTTGATCGGCCGGTAGCTCAGGGCAGCCTGGAGGGACTCTTTGGAGAGCTTCTCACCCTGAGGTGGCTTCCCGGTGAACCATGGGAACGACTTCCGGCTGTAGCCTGGGTTGGAGCCATCCCGGCATTCCCCAAACTTCTCTGTGTACTGGCGGAAAGCCTCGCGCTCATCCTCCGTGGGCTCCTTGTCTGCCCCAGCCACAACAGGGGTGCTCTCTCCGGAATCACTTGCGCCCGCAGCTGCCATCTCAACTTCGCTGCCAGTGGAAACCTCCTCAACCACGGCGACCTCCGTCTTCTGCGATGCCCACTCTGAGAACCTGCCACGGCCAGGAGCACGGTTGGGTTCCTGCTCGTGAGCCTTCACCAAAAGGTCTCTCCCACGAAGCTTCATAGAAACCCAGCCGGTGGTGGGACCATCACCACGAACAAGCTCGTAGCACAGGCGCCCATCCCTCTCCTCAACCTTCTTGACCACAGCGCCAGTGGCCAGCCGCGCTTCACAAAGCTCGTCCGAAAGAGCCGGGCCCGACCGGACCAGGACGCCTCCATGACCAGCGCCGCCAACAACCTCCCACAATGCCATCTTGTCGGAAATCAAGCGGTCTACAGGGCCACTCGTCTCTCGATGCTTGAGCCGCAACCCACGACTTCGGGCTTTTGACCTAAAAGCCTTAAAGCCTAAACCGCTTCAGCAGACTGCAACAGACCGCCCTTCGCGGAGCCTGGCCAAATAGTCGAACAAACTAGCGGCTCTCCTTCAGCCAGCCCTCGGCCTCTTCCAACCTGTCAAGGCGACTCGGAAGTCTTTGTCATGTTCTCTCGGTTTGGGCTTTAGGGTTTAGGGTTTAGGGGCGTGTTCGGAATGTTGGAAGTCGTGGGTACGAAACTTCCCCTAAACCCTGAACCCGAAAACCCCGAAAAAACCCTAAACTTCAAGACATGGTCGTTTTCCGTGACCTCCCGCCGTACAGCCTAATCTATGCAGGCATAGGCACACAAATCACTTGTAAAATGCTCGTAGGAGTATCAGATTCGTCTTCGTCGCCGTTGTGCAGATGTCGATTTCGTGGATACGGCCCCCACTCAGTCACAGCTGAACCATATTCACAGCATAGTTGTATAGGCCCTTGGTTGGAGCCCTCTTATACTACATTTGCTCTCCGTGGTCTCCTGGCTGCTCTCAACCGCTCACCGTGGTCATAGAACGGAACCATCCAGAACACCCTCATGACATTTGTCATCTTGAAATGTACCATTTGAGGGTTTCGGGTTTCGACTCTCACACTCGCACCATGCAGGCAAGGGTCTAGGGTGCCCTCATTTTGTGCATGGTTGTCAGCTGTTGTTGCGGCATGGCAGCCAAACTTTTGAGCTGTGACCTATCACCCCCCTCACCCTGAGATGCTAAGCCCCCAAGCCTCCAAAAATCCTAGCCCTAAACCCTAAACCCTAAACCCTAAACCGTGAACCAAGGCCCGACCCATTGAACTCTAGACTCCTAGCCTGAGCCTTTGAACCCACCATCCCCTAAAAAGACTAGTCACTGGACCCCATCATAGATAAAGCAACAACGCGCCAAGACCGTAAGAACCCTCAACCCCAGACCCCCCGAACCCTCATTTCACCGCCTGTAGATCCCTTCAAAAGGAACCCGACAGGAATCTCTAATCCCTAAACCCCAAACCCTAAACCCTAAGAATCCCTTTCGAGGAACCTCTGAAGGGTGGGGTTTAGGGCTTAGGGCTTTGGGCTCAGGGCTTAGGGGTTTAGGGGTTTAGGGCTAAGGGTTTAGGGTTTAGGGGAAAAGGGTTTATGGTTTAGGGTTGAGTCTGGCGCCTCACCGGGTCGACCCCCGTTCCATAGGCCGCGCCCAGGGCAATGCGAAGGGCACTGGCGCTCTTCCTGAAAGGGTCGGGAGGGTGGGGGGAGGGGGAAAGGGGGTGTTTCGAGGGAGCTCTAGATTTGCAGAACCTGGGCTCTACAAAATGAGGTTTAGAGTTGGGGGTTGGCACACCTACCGGGACAAAGGTTTAGGGTTTGGGGTTTAGGGTTTGGGGTTTAGGCTTCAGGTCTTAAGGTTGCGAGTTTTGAAAGATCGCATCGGGTGATGCGGCATATCGGACCTTGGGCTGAAGACATGATAGGGGGCTGCGGGGCTCAAGGGTTTGGAGCTGACTGGAGCTCGACCGTGCGCATGAGATGTGGGCAATGAACCATCAGGCAAAAAAACGGACCTTTCAGAGTCCCTTCTGCAATCCTATTTCTTCAGGTAGGTGGGTGCTCAGGGAGATCTGCATTTATATTGCATACTGCTAAAGCTCAAAGGTAGCTCTTGCCGCTCTAAAACCCCTTTCTTGGCCCAGGTCTCTCTGAAGCTTTAGAGCCTGAAAGCCCCAAACTCCCCAACCCCTATGCCCTATACCCCAGGCCCGACCAAAATCCCAAGTGCCTTTCTGAACCCTTTCTGTTTAGGGTTTTTTCCCTCTCGCATGGCTAGGGTTGAGGGTTTAAGTTTTTCTGTTGCCATTCTGTGCCCCAAACCCCAAAACCCAAAGCCCCCAAAGCCCCCAAAGCCCCCGAACCCTTCCGAGACGCGTATTGTAGGCTCTAAGAAGCGCCTCGTCAGAGACAGGGCTACAAGGCAAGGGTTTAGGGTTTCGGGTTAAGGGGCCCGGCCTGGGTCTGAATGTTTGAGGGGTTGAGAAGTGTTAGGGCATAGGGAAGTTTAGGGCTTAAGGGTGTTATGGTGTTTTTTCCCACCCGCCTAGTCAGCTGGTGTTAGGGTTTAGGGTTTAGGGGGTCTGCATGCTTGGGCACACCAGCAGTAGGGTTCCAGAGATTACAGTTGGGCGCGTTCAGGGTATCTTCAGGGTGTAGAGAGACATTCTGACCCGAAAACCACCCGAAGTCGCAAGAGCCCAACGAACACTCCCCAAAAGGAGGGGCTTATTGCAGGGGTTCAGGGCTTACGGTTCAAGCTTCTGGCGCTCACACTCGGAAAGTGGTATGTGGTCATGGGTGGGCTACATGAGGCTACTGCTTGGCAAGATGGGGAGGGTGCGCAATCAGAGAAAATCGCAGCATGTGGGCTTCAGGACTTTAGGGGTTTAGGGGTTCAGTAGGGTCTTCGGCGGTCACACTCGGACACTCCAGGCGAGGCCTATGGTTCGGGTTCCTTAGGGGCTCAGGGCTCAAGGGGTTTAAGGTTGATTTGGGCTTCGGGCTTGGGGTTTAGGGGGTTTCCGGCACCCTAAACCCTAAACCCTCAACCCTAAACCCTGGGGAAGAGTCGCAAGCTCTGCCTTGACGGCCAAGCCCTGAGCCGAGTCCACACTGGGAGCCGCCGTGGCCTGCGCGGGCTGAGGGCTCTGGGGTTTAGGTTTGGGCATTTTCTTTTTTTTTTGGGGGGGGGG